CTGCAGAAGCCTATTTTTAGTTAGCGACGATCATTAATTTATTTGGGTAGGATATAAGAGCGATAAGTCTTAAAAGTCCTAAAAGTCTTAAAGCTAGTATTATAAGTATTAAAAGTATTATAAGTGCTATAAGTCTTTTAAAACTTATAAGCACTCAATTACATATGAATGTTATAGATAGAATTTTTTATAAATAAAGGGCCTTTTTGCCTTACTGCAATAGCAGATTATTTTCCAAATTCATTGTCTTTTACATTTTAATGATCTATTTCCCAATATTCTACTAAGTTTATAGTAGAATCGTCATTGTTAACTTAATTCCTACATTACCCTAAGTATTGTATTCTGACTTATTAGAATACTTGATTTCCTTGCAGGTTGGTTTTTGTGGTTCAATCATTGTTAAACCGAAAGTTTGTCACGTGCTTAGTTGTCTAAGGATTGCCGAAGCCTTAGAACTATTCCACCTTGCCAAATCTAAATGTCTTTTTCAATAGGCTTTCTTGTTAGCCTTGGTAGTTGTTTGTTTGGTTTGTTGTTGGTTTGGCATATTCCCGGCAAACCACATTTTTCTGTATAACAATTGGTGATGACTGTGAGATCCGGTATATCAAAGGCGTGAAAATTATATTGTCCCCTGAATGGATGAACTCAAAATTGAAGAATCGTCATATGTTCTAGTATTTATGTTTGATAAGATGACGCCAAAGAGAAAACAAAAGTTGGTTTTTGCTGAGAAAGTCCTTCAGTTCAGACATTTATTTTTTTTATACGACCACTGATCATGTCGCTGTGAATAAATTAAAATTGACTAAAGCCATATATCGGGTTGACTTCTATAGCTATACATTAATCACTAATGATCTGTCAGACCTCCCGAAGTTGCATGAAATAATGAAGCTAGAGATCCAACAAAGTAAAGCCTGGGATAAGTTTATATAGCTAGTTGAAGTTGATCCAGTAAGCAAATTTAAAATTGTTGACGAGCATGGTGCTATTATCTTACTAGTTGAGACTGATGTAAATTAGAAAAGAACAGTCAAATTTAAAGAACATGACTGTAGGACAATAGAAATGTAGAGTTGGTTATGACTATTAAGTGCAAGGTAGAGGCACATAATAGTAGACTTCGGTCACTCTATTCTTATCTTTCTAGTAATTATCCTTCTAGTATACATAAATGCTTAATATATCTGAATTTATATAGCTCATACTTATTCTATAATTCTTCTATAGTTTCCCCACAGTGAATCTATTTCATATTATAATATATTATTATTATCCCACATCTGCCCCACACTTATCCTATAGTTGTCCCATAGATATACTCTAGACTTTAGATTAAACAGACCTAACAATAGTAAGGCTGGATTAGGGTGAGTTGGGGCTCTATTCACTTGAAAGTAAGATCGATGATATTTTTAAGCCCAATCGCCAATCTAACATTAGTTGAATTAAAAATATCAATATCAGAGAGAACCCTATTGTAGCAGGAATTTGTAACGTAACGTCGATTTCAAGGGACCTATAAGCTGTGTAAATTAGCCTGGTACTGGCATGTAAATAAGTACTGTGCCAGGAGAAAAAATGATATAAGAAACTCCCAAAGAAAGTTTTAATTATAAATATGCGAAGAAAAATGAATCCAAAGGAATTGTTTAGAAATAAACTAAAGATAAAACAAGGCAGATACAAAGAACTTATATACCTACAAAATATCTGCCATTACCATTAATGTCCTTTAAAGATGCAATGTAATTGTATAGTATGCAAAGGAACAGGGGAACTAATATCATTAAGGGATAATAAAGCAATATTAATACAAAAAAAAAAAAAAAAACTAATCATAAGGGCACGCCAGACATGCATAGAGGGTGACACTGGTAATTGTTATCAAAAGGATATAGGAATTGAAATAATGAACATATAATAGCTAGTCATTGTCAGTAATCGGCAAAATACTCAAAGAGAAGGTGCCATTAAAATAGAACAAGAGGAATCGGAAAAGGCCCTAAAGAATTGTAGCTGAAAAGGATAAGAATTTTTATCTTTGTATTGTTAAGCTTATACCCTAGAACTATTTCTAAAAAGCTACCTAATTTCTAATCTTTCATTGTAGACTTCTGCTATTGTTAAAAACCCCAAATAACTTTATTGATTTTTTTTTTTTTTTTTAATATTTAAGGTGAGACCTTGCTCTTATCTTTATTAAACTTAATGAAAACTTTTTACATGACTGAAAAAGGTTTTATATTTTAAGCCTAGTGCTAAGAATAAGAACTCAGACATATAGCTAAGAAGATCTAGAAACTAAGTGTACCTAGTAACTTATCTGCGGTCTAAACCTAAAATAACTTTATTGATATAAGGTATCCGCCCAAATTCTTAGTATAGATCTGTCCTATTGTTTCGTAATTATCTTAATTTATCTCTTTAGCCTTAGTTTACTCTTTTTGTACATTCTTAAATTACATGCATAACCCAAACTTGGTCCAATTTAGTAAGAGCTCGATCATAATCTATGTAAATTGAGGTCCGAAATCATAGCCCTTATGTGTTTAAAGTCTTGACTAACAATATATATATATTCTTTTCTTCTAAGTTTACTATTGGAGCTAAATTGCTCTATAGAACTATATTGCTTTTCCAAACAATAGTAACAATAGCAAATTGAACTTACTAGAGAAGTAAAAATTTGGAATCGTGTTATCGAATAGGGAATTGTACAAAATACTGACCTATCAACTAACTTTGAAGATTAGTCAAATGAAAACTTTCTGGCCTTAAGACCTTTGGCAATATTTTTTAAGGACCCCGAGTAATATATAGATAGGTTACAATTTTTTTTGCTTATTTTCATATAAAATTTGGCTTAAAATTGCTTATTTTGACCAAAATTTGCAAAATTTACTATTTAA